AAAAATAGGATGAGTCACGCGAAATTTTTGAAAGTTTTTACCAAAGAAGGCAAAGCAAAAATGTGTTTTGCCTCGAGAATCTTGGGACTATTTTAGGTTCTTGCGCGAGAAAAAGTCCTTTGCCCTCTAACCACCTTCTTGATCTCGGGGTAAGAAGATGGTTAGACTCAGGTAGATCAAAAATTCCCAGAAATTTGAATCAAGAATGTTGATTTAATTTTTCTTAGGCCCTTGCATGAGATGAAATCCCAGTCCCACTGGGCATTTTCTTGCCTTTAGGGCATATTCCCGATTTAGACCAGAAATACCCGGAAATTTTATTTTTATTTTATTTTTATTTATCTCGATCTTTCGTTTCACAAAGTACAAAACATATAACGGTACCATTTCCAGAGTCTCCGCCCACAATGGACGTGGACAGCAAAGTGAGGGCCTATAAGTTTGTGGCCTATTCGGCCATTACATTCTCTCTTGTGGCAGTCTTGTCGGTGTCCATCACATTACCTTTGCTGTACAATTACGTGAGACACGTCCGCTATCAGCTCGACAGAGAGTACACTCTTTGCCAGGTGAGGTATTTTTACCGTTGGAAAGGCCAAATTTTTTTCTATAGCACATTTTTGTGCGAGAAGACGTCTCATGTCCTCCGGGCATATGGACCGTTTAGTCCCCAAAAGATGAGGAAAAGTTGGTCAAATTTTCTTTGTCTCGTCTCAATTTTTCTCAGGTATGTGCGCGAGTAGATGTCTCATACCCTCCGGGCATATGAACCCTTTCGACCCAAAAATGTGCCCGTAAATGGAATCGTGATTGAATCTTGACTCTATTTTTCAGCTACTTCAGATTCTTGCGCGAGAATACCTTCTATGCCCTCTGGGCATCTTCGTGCTCAGAACCTAAAAGGCATTTTTGGAAATGCGATTTTTCAGGACAAAATTTTTTTATTCCGGAAATTTTCTGGAAAAGCAACGTAAAATAAGGATTATTCTTCCAGGGTACCTCCGATGACATTTGGAACGAAGTCAACCAACTGAAAGATCTCGACTACGTCCATCACTCTAACAGAACCGCTAGACAGGCATACGGTAAGGAAGATATTTTCACTGATCAAAGATCAGAGATCATTGATCATTTATGAGTCGTAACTTTCGTGTTTTCTAAGTTCGGGATTCAGTTTAAAAAATATGGTATTCCCTTCGATGACTACTCTCGAATGGCGATATTGATCTATAATGTTACACCTTTCAGGTGGCGAAGGCGCTGGTGGCGCTGGCACCACTGCCGGACCCTCAGGCGGGTCTTCAGCTGGCTCGACCGGTGGCGGCAACGTTTGTGCCGACTGCTGTCTTCCCGGTCCACCAGGACCTCCAGGTAAGTGAATCACCTGAGCAAAATATATGCAATGTACTTTTATAACGACGTGTAATTTTCAAAGACCAAAGATCATATATCATATCCACTTTTTGCACTTTAAGATATGCAGATCTTGAACTCCTTTTTGACTTTAGTTCGAGAATATGACCTTTAGAGCCTCTTAAGCCTTTTAAGACCCTCTTTAAGGCTTAGAGGTCATAGGAAAGGCTTAGATAAACAATACGTCAACTTATGTCTTAAGTTTATGCTTGATCTTAAGCTTAGACTTTGACTTAAGCGCGTAGCTAAGCTTGGGTTAAGAAATGAGATCAGACTTAAGTTTGAGCTCATACCTAGATTTGATCTTGATTTAAGCTAAAGAAAAGCTTGAACTTAAGTCCAATCTTAAGCTTAGATTCAGACTTTTGCATGTATTTAAGACAAAGCTTACACTGAAGCATAAGCTTATGCTCAGGTTTGAGCTTAATCTTGTCCCGGACTTGTGCTAATAGTTAAGCTTGAACTTAAGTCCAATCTCAAGTTTGAAGTCGAACTTTGGCCTGCACTTAGGATTACGCGCTTAGACTTAGGAATAAGCTTATGCTTAGGATTAAGCTTATTCTTGACCCAGATTTAAGCGAAAAAGTAAGCTTGAACTTGAATCTAGCCAAATCTTAAACTTGGATTTACACTTTGAGTAAAGTGTACAAAATTTTTAAGGTCCCGCTGGAAAGCCCGGAAAGAACGGTAAATGTGGAGCTCCTGGAATGCCAGGAATGCCCGGAAGATTGCCAGGCATCTGCGGTAAGCTGCTTCTAAGTGACATTGTTCAGGTATTCATCCTGGATTTTTAGAGGCCAATACCCCGCCACCATGCAAGCCTTGCGCTCGAGGACCACCCGGCCCACCTGGACCGGTAAGTATCACCTGTGGAAAATTTGCATATAGGGGTTTTCGGATATGCTGAATCCGAATTTGAAATCAGATTTCAAATTTGAAAATTTGAAATCGCGCCAAAATAAAAAAACGTGTTTTTAAGGGTTTTTATGAGTGAATGTTTGTTCGTTTTTGATTTGTAGCGTACATATAGCTTATTTGGAGTATTTCTGCTTTTGGAATTTTTGAATTTCGGTTTTTGTACAAATTTTTATGAATTTTTTGGTCATTTTTTGGTGAAAAATTGGCTTTTTTGGTTCTGACGGTAAAAGTTGCTGAAAATTTGCATACAGGGGTTTTTGGATATGCTGAATCCGAATTTGAAATCATATTAGAAATTTGAAAATTTGAATTCGCGCCAAGTAAGTTTCAAAAATTTTTTCGTATTTTCCTGAAAATTTTTAAAATTCTCGAAATACATAACACGGAAAATGTTATAGCCCGGACCGAAAGGAGAAGAAGGAGTTGGAGGACCACCCGGCAAGCCGGGAGCAGAAGGAGCCCCAGGTGAACAAGGCGGAAAGGGACCACCCGGAGCGCCAGGAGGTTGGAATTTGTTTTGAACTCGTTTTGCCCTTATAAGGCCTCGAATGAGTCATGCAACGTTTTGCTTCTAAATGACAATATTTTAGAGCATGGAGAGAAGGGACCACCAGGTGAATCTGGCCAGCCGGCTCCAAGTGAACAGGTATGAAATGTTTGGGGTTTAGAGCTTAGGCTTAAAACTGAGCTTAAGCTGAGATTAAGCTTAGCCTTGGGAGAAAGGCTAGGTTCAAGTGAAAGTCTAGACTTTAAGGCTAAGGTTTTCTCAGAAATTTGTTTAAAAGTTAGCAAGGGTTAGGGGCTAAGCTAAGACTTGGTCTAAGATTTGAGCTTGAGCTCAGGATGTAAGCTTGGAGCCGCTTTTTAATGCAAGCCTGTACTTGAGCTTAAGCAAAAAATAGGCAGAAACTTAAGCTTGGGCTTACGTCATAAGTTCGGGCTTGGTCCAAGATCTTTGTTTACACTTAAGTTGAAATTTAACTCATCGTTAGGCTCAAACTCTAAGCTTGGGCTTATAAGGTAGGCTTGGACTTAGATTTAAGCGTGTGCATAAGCTTAGAACTAATTTAAGAATTATGCCTGTGTCTGAAAATCTCAATAATCTCGAACTTTAGCTCGTGCCAGGAGAGGCTGGACCACCAGGAGAAGCCGGTCCACCTGGCCCCGCTGGACCGCCAGGTATGTCAATTTTATTCTCAATCTGAATTTTTTGGCCTAAAACTTTGAAATTAAGGCCAACCTGGAGCACCTGGAATACCTGGAGCTCAAGGCCCGAAAGGACCTCGAGGACCCGAAGGACCACCAGGAGAACAAGGGTAGGTTTATTTTCAGGATTCAAGTTTAGAAATAGTGTAAGCTTGTGCTTAAGTTTCACTTTAACTAAAAGTTAGTCTCTAATTTGAGCACAGACTTAAAGCCCTAAACCTTAAGATAGGGCTTAATTTGAAGCCTAAACCTAAAGGCTAAGCTTAATGCTAGACTTAAGTTTGTGCTGAAACTTAAGTATGTGCCTAAATCTTAAGTTTCAGCTTAAGCCTAGGCCGACATCTTAAGCATGAGCCAAATCTTAAGCATAGGCTTAAACCCTAAGCTTGTGCTCAAACTATGATTTAAACTGTAAGCATAAAAACTCCAAAATGTGAACTAAACAATGTTGTCATTTCAGTCCCGAAGGCCCCGCAGGCCCATCTGGTGAAGGTGGCAAAGCAGGAGAGAAGGGAATTTGTCCGAAATACTGCGCCATCGACGGCGGCGTTTTCTTTGAAGACGGAACTCGGCGCTAAGCAAAATCTCATAGATTCTGTAGTGAAGATAGCAATTTGCATAGAAACTTATTCACAGTTATATTCCCGAAAATGGCAACTATAAGTCTGAGCCACGAATTAAAAAACAATAAACTCATATCGTATTTGTCATATCAGTCATATGCTAAGAAAAAAAATGGAGAAAAATGAGAGGAAGACTAATTTCTTAGGTTTGGATGAGTCCTTCTACTGGTTCACTGAGGGGTACATTCGGGGGTATTGCCCTGAGTAATCACAATTTTTATCACTCATTAAGAATGAGTCCTTCTACTGGTTCACTGAGGGGTACATTCGGGGGTATTGCCCTGGCGCTGAAGTCTGCGTCTATGTCTTATCAGTATGTCCAAGCTATAGCTAGGACCAATACCCCCTGAGGTATCCCTTAGTGGGCAAGTGAGTAATCACAATTTCGATCAGAATTTTTCGGAAGAATGTTCTGGAAACAAAATTGCATTCTAGAAAGCAATTTTGTGATAGACCCTAAGTGATGTGCCAGTCGATAGTACTCACCAAGGGGAATAAAAAACTTTTTAAACTAAATCTGGATAGAATAAAATTAAAACTTATTACCAGTCGAAGTTAAGGGATCAAAGATCATGATCACTGAACACTGACTTTGAAGCGTCAAATTTGCTACCGCAAACGATAGCGAAAAACTCTCGAATCCGCAACTGATTAAGCTTAGAAAGCACCTTGTCATCTCGGAGGACTTGAGACATGCCGGTAGCGGTATTGCGCTTAGGTTGATTACACAAGCTCAATTTATAAGGTACTTTTCTATCTCTGTAACTTCTTTCTATCTTCTGCCCCGTTGGCCTAGTGAATAAGGCGTTAACTCTCAAAAGGACGCGTTAAAAAAATTACAGCCCCGTACCGGATTCAAACCGATGACCTTCTGATTCGAAGTCAGACGCCTTATTCACTAGGCCAACGGGGCACATGAATACAGTGATAGAGAAGGACCTTATAATGCCTGGTGTACGCATGTAGGGATTTGCCGGGGGGTTCCAGAGGGGATTGGCCATAACTTTTTTATTTTCATACTAGGGGTAGTATGTGTTTTTGCAAAAATGTAGCGCCAAGTGTCTAGTTTCTAAAAATCCAAGAAAAAATTTTTACCCCCACTTAACCCCTGAAAAGTCCAACCCCCTCTGTAAAACCTGGAAAACACAATTTTGAGAGTTAACGTGTGAGGCGTGACAGAGTTATAGTGTGTGGGACACGAAAAGACAACGCAGCATGTTAGAGCGCAGAGAATGTCTGTGTCTGCCCGGTTAGTTCCCACGAACAAGCCGTCCTAAGCTTTTCAGACATGAACCGTAGCGGCATGTGTCTAGTTTATAAAAATTAAACAAAAAATTTTTACCCAACATTTAACCCCCTAAAATATGCAACCCCTCTGAAAAATTCAGTTTACGAGGTTTTTCAGAGGGAGTTGCTTATTATAGGGGGTTAAATGGTGGTTAAAAATTTTCTTCGTATTTTGAAACTAGACACTTGCTGCTACATTCTTGCAATAACACCTATCAGTCGTTTCAAAAGTAACCGGACTGCCAAGTCAGACACAAACGACAAATTGGCGGGAAGTTTGAAAATAATTCTGAGCTTACTCACGTTTCACGTGACTAAACACCGATTCTGATATTGGTAACCCCCTCTAGAATCGTATTTTAGAGGGGGTTAGCAATATCAGAATTAGGGTTTACCCACGTGAAACGTGAGTTCAAATTTCCGCCAAATTTGAATACTGCTCATCTTAAAGTATTAGTTTTTTCCAGGTTTTCCAGAGGTGGTTGGACTTTTCAGGGGTTAAATGGGGGTAAAAAATTTTTTCTTGGATTTTTAGAAACTACACTTGGCGCTACATTTTTGCAAAAACACATACTACCCCTAGTATGAAAATAAAAAAAGTTATGGCCAATCCCCTCTGGAACCCCCCGGCAAATCCCCATATGCGTACACCAGGCATTATAAGGTCCTTCTCTATCACTGTATTCATGTGCCCCGTTGGCCTAGTGAATAAGGCGTCTGACTTCGAATCAGAAGGTCATCGGTTTGAATCCGGTACGGGGCTGTCATTTTTTTCCTCCCGTTAGGTCAACCGCAGGTCGCGCGCTATTATTACTACCATCCCAGATTTGATGTCCAAATACAGGATTACAATGTGGAAAATTTTTTCAGGTAAGAAATATGGTCAGGTATATTTATTTATTCTCGTCTTCGAGTAACGGGCCTATAAAACTGTGAATAATAATTTTCTGAGCACAAAATCATTCATTGCTGAGTCACCGGCGTTTGTCCTTCCGCTGCAGCGGCCATTTCCGCAAACTCCATATCGGCCGCTCTCGATCTTCTCCAATATGTCCAAAGTGCACCGGCGAAGAGTGTCATGGCCTGAATTCGAGACATTAGCTCGGGAAAAATGAGTATTGAAGATTAGAAGGTTCTAGAATTTGGAATTGAAACTTTAGAATGTTTTGAGATATTTTTTCTAATCCTTCATGTCTTTTCTTAATAGATTTGGAGTCAGGAAAATTTTTTAATTGATTCGATAGAACCAATGAAAAAATACATAAACTCTCTAATTTAACCCCCCTCTAATTCCCCCTCCCCCAAAATGACAAATTTTCCAAAAATGCCAAAAATTCAAAGTTTTGGCGCAAATTCAAATTTTTTCCAAAAATTTGAATTTTTTACCTATTTGTAGCCATTTTTTGCAAAAAAAAATAAAGAATGGCAAAAATTTAGAAAAAATTCACATTTTTTGGGCAGTAATTCAAATTTTGGATTTTTTTTGAACAAATGTCAAAAAATGACGACATTTTTTGAAATTTGAGTAAAAATCTCAAAAATTGCGAAAAATCGATCGGTTTAATTTTACCCCCTCTAATTTTCCCACTCTAGAGGTCGATTGAATAATTATACCCCGGGGTTAAATTAGAGCATTTACGGTAGTCTCCTTTTTGGCCATGCTTAAGATTGAACTAAGTCTAGTACACTTAAGTCTAAGCTTGCGTTGCTTTAAGTCTAAGCTTAATAATAGTTTCAGCATAATCTGAGACTAAGCTGTACACCATTTTATGATCTCAAGCTGGTTATGTTATATGTTATTAGACTAAGCTTAGACTTAAGTACCAGACTAGTGTTCCAAATAAACCAATTGAGAATGCACTCACACTGAATCCTTGAATCGCAACACGAGCCTTCATATATTTGTTGGCTTTTAATGAATCCCGATTGATAATCGCCCTTGCCATACCTGAAAAATATTGCAATTTTAATGACAGTGAACGAAAATCGAATGAACTTAAGAGTAAAAAATGCGACATACCAAATAAGCAGTAAGTGACGCCGACGAGGCCGAGAGGAAGGATCGGATTCTCTTTCATTTTCTGCGCACTCTTCTTCCACATTTCGTCTTTGAATGCTGAGCTCCCGCCCTAAATGGGATCTGTCAAAATTATCTAGTTGTCCCTGACCTTTAGTAGTCAGTAGTACTGGATTAGTACTATGGGCGAAGTAGTCGTAGAAGTTAAATACTTTAAGACGAGCAGTATTCAAATTTGGCGGAAATTTGAACTCACGTTTCACGTGAGTAAACACCAATTCTGATACTGCAAACCCCCTCTAGAATCATATTTTAGAGGGGTTCTGTACTGATCATCTTAAAGTATTTAACTTCTACGACTACTTCGCCCATAGTACTAATCCAGTACTACTGTAGTCCCAGCAACTAAAGGCTAAACTAAAATTTTTCATATTGTTTTATCTTTTTATTAATTTTTGGAGAAAATTAAAAAAATTGTCGTAAGGATAAGTAATGTTTCAAATCAGAGCTAAGTCTCTTGGCTACCGATCGATGTATTGCACACAGGATCTCGATTCAAGGTTCTCGAGATTCGAGTCTTCTTGTCTCAAATTTTCGATTTTTATTGAAAATTCGAGATTTTGAGGCAAAAGACTTGAATCTCGAAATCCTTGTATCGATATCCTGCGTGCAATATACCGAATGGTAGCGCAGTGTCTTAGCTCTGATTTGAGCTATTACTTACCCTTCTAGAATATTCCAGAAATAAGTTATGCCAAAAATGGCGGCGGGAGCGAAATGACCTAGGCTCACCCTTGCTAAGGATCCTAAGGCTACTCAAAGCTACCCTAAACCTACTATAACCTTAAAAAAGCATACCAAAGAAGTGATCGGCGAAAAAACGCTTCCACCATACACGGTCGATGCCGGAGGAACCTGAAAAGCAACAAATCAATAGTCAAGAGTGGAGAACGAAGCCAAAACTTGGATACCACAGGCGGTCTCTTCTTGCCATACTTTTGTACTTCCTCCACTCTTGGTTTGTTCTGAGTCACGTCACCTGTCGATTTTGCCAGCGGCACTGCGCCGACAGGTTTGCTTTTTTGGTTTTCGTCGACGGTCTTGTCATTGGCCTTGGAGCCGACCTTTTTCCAGGTGAAAAACTTTTCGTTGACACCGTTGTCAGGTGCGCTCTCGGGCTGTTTTGTTGCCATTTTGGAGCCTGAAAATATAAAAAAACGTTAGCCATGATAAAAGGTCAAAGTTTGGCATTAGCGACATATAAGGAATGCAATCGTAATTGCGAAAGGTGATCGTGTGTGGTCTAAGGTGAGCGAGATCTGGTCGAATGCCGCAGGGGAAATTGGAGAATTTGCTGATTCTTGCCTTTTGAATTGACTTTTGAATTTTTAAAATATCAATTTCAGGCAATGTTCCACATAATTGACTCCAGAACTTTCTATAATATCCTAGAAAGTTTAAAAAATGGACTTCTGGAAGAGCTGGAAAATATTTTTATGGCACATCCCGGAAAATGTCAGCATTTTTATGGAATTATTGGCCATATTCAAACTTTGTGTGTAAAATTTTGGAAAAAACAACTTCGAAACTCAAAGAACCTGAAAAACTGATTAATTTGATGCGAGAAAACAGGTAAAAGCAAAACACAGGTAAGTTATTAATGCTCCATAAAAGGTCAACTTTGAGTTTGGAAGAAAAGCGTTCCTCAAAAACCGAAGCCGTTTCTGAAATCAAAATATGCTTTGAATTGGCGGGCAATTGGTTGGTTCTGGCGAAATGTCTCAGCATTTGTTTCAGGAATGAATGGGCGTGTGGAAGGATGTGTGTACTTTCTAGCAAACATCCAAGAAAGTTGTGTGACAAATTTCTGGAAGAAAACTTGGAAAACGCAATAAATTTTAAAATTTTCAAAAGCAGAGATAAAAATTACTAAAATGTATTTAAAAAACTAGCTTACAATGTAAATTTTGTTTCAGAGAACGAAAAGTTTTATCATAAAAATGGATAAAAGGACGGGCTTTTTTAAAACCTCAGTCTTGAATAAAGCCGGAACCTCCAATAAGCCCCCAGGGGTATTGAGAAATACAGCTTTGGATCTTATTAGAATGTTCTGATCTCTTATCTCTTCTCTGCGTGTCTGCATTTCTCTTATCTCTTCTCTGCGTCTCTATGTTCTCACTTCTCTTCCTCTCTTATCTCTTCTCTGCGTGTCTGCGTCTCTCTTATCTACACTCTGAGTCTCTCAATGTTCCCACTTCTCTGCGTCTCTCTCTCACTTCTCTGCATATCTGCGCCTCTCTCTTCTCTACGTCTCTCTCTCACTTCTCCGCGTTTCTGTTCTCTGCGTCTCTCTCGCTTCTCCGCGTGTCTGAATCTTCCCTATCTGTGCTCTGCGTGTCTGACTTCTCCCTTTTCGCCTCTTTATGTTCTCACTTCTCTGCTTGTCTGCACCTTCCCTATCTCTTCTCTGCATCTCTAACTTCTCCCTCTGCTCCCTCCACCCCATCATTTGTTGTAGCCAGCGCCTGGTTAAAGGGAACGCACCTGTTAGCCCTGTGACTCCAATGATGAGAACAAATCGCTGAATGCATTTGTGTCGAGCATTGTTC